ATCCTTGCTGGGTACAGTAATCTGGGTTTTAGGTTATTCTCTTTCATTACTTTAAGTATGTCCTGCCATTCCCTTCTGGCCTGAAGGGTTTCTATTGATAGATCAGCTGTTATCCTTATGGGAATCCCTTTGTGTGTTATTTGTTGTTTCTCCCTTGCTGCTTTTAATATTTTTTCTTTGTGTTTGATCTTTGTTAATTTGATTAATATGTGTCTTGGTGTGTTTCACCTTGAGTTTATCCTGTTTGGGACTCTCTGGGTTTCTTGGACTTGGGTGGCTATTTCCTTCCCCATTTTAGGGAAGTTTTCAACTGTTGTCTCCTCAAGTATTTTCTCATGTCTTTTCTTTTTGTCTTCTTCTTCTGGGACTCTTATGATTCTAATGTTGGGGTGTTTGACATTGTCCCAGAGGTCTCTGAGGTTGTCCTCATTTCTTTTAATTATTTTTTCTTTTTTTCTCTCTGCTTCATTTATTTCCACCATTCTATCTTCCACCTCACTTATCCTACTTCTGCCTCAGTTATTCTACTGTTGGTTCCCTCCAGAGTGTTTTTGATCTGTTATTGCATTATACATTATTGATTGACTGGTTTTTTTTTATTACTTCTAGGTCCTTGTTAAACATTTCTTGCATCTTCTCAATCCTTGTCTCCAGGCTATTTATCTGTAACTCCATTTTGTTTTCAAGATTTTGGATCATTTTTACTATCATTATTCTGAATTCTTTTTTAGGTAGACTCCTTATCTCCTCCTCTTTTGTTTGGTTTAGCAGGCATCTATCATATTCCTTTACCTGCTGAGTAGTTCTCTGCCTTTTCATCTTGTTTAGATTGCTGTATTTGGGGTGGCCTTTCTGTATGCTGGAAGTTTGTGGTTCCTCTTTATTGTGGAGGTTCCCCCATGTGGGTGGGGTTGGATGAGTGGCTTGTAAAGGTTTCCTGGTTAGGGAAGCTTGCATTGGTGTTCTGGTGGGTGGAGCTGGATCTTTTCTCTCTGAGTGCAGTGAAGTGTCCAGTAGTGAGTTTTGAGGTATCCATGGGTTTGGTGTGACTTTTTGCAGCCTGTCTATTAAAGCTCAGGGCTATGTCCCTGTGTTGCTAGAGAATTAGCGTGGTATGTCTTGCTCTGGAACTTGTTGGCTTTTGGGTGGGGCTTGGTTTCAGTATAGGTATGGAGGCTTTTTGCTGAACTCTTATTGATTAATGTTCCCCGGAGTCAGGAGTTTTCTGGTGTTCTCAGGTTTTAGATTTAAGCCTCCTGCCTCTTGTTTTCAGTCTTATTCTTACAGTAGCCTCAAGACTTCTCCATCCATACAGCACTGATGATAAAACATCTAGGTTAATGGAGAAAAGATTCTCCACAGTGAGGGACACCCAGAGAGGTTCAGAAAGTTACATGGAGAAGAGAAGAGGGAGGAGGGAGATAGAGGTGACCAGGAGGAGAAGAGGGGGAATCAAAAGGGGAAAGAGCAATCTAGCCAGTAATCAAATCCCTATGTGCTCTTCACAGCCTGGAACACCCAGAGAGGTTCATGGAGTTACATTGAGAAGAGAAGATGGAGGAAGGAGATAGAGGTGACCAGGAAGAGAATAGGGGGAGTCAAAAGGAGAGAGACAGATCTAGCCAGTAATCATTTCCCTGTGTTCTTCACAGCCCAGAATACCCAAAGAGGTTCACAGAGTTGGGTAGAGAAGAGAAAGGGGAAGGAGGAGACAGAGGTGACCTGGGGGAGAAAAAGGAGAGTCAAAGGGAGAGGGCAATCCAGCCAGTAATCACAGTCCTAAGTAAAAATGGGTACTGAAGATTGGACTGTTAAAGGTACAAACTTGATAAAAATACCAGAAAGCAAAGATTAAAAATCTAGAGTAGAGGTTAGACTCTCAAAAATACAATATTAAAAAAAAACCAAAATCACAAAAATTATAAAAAAAATATATAAAATTTGCTTTAAAAATAGTTTTTTTTTTTTGCAGGGTAATAGGTTATAAAAATGAAAATTAAATGAGTAATAAAGGAGTTAAAGATAAAAAGTCATTTTAATTTAAAAAATGATAATAGTAAAATATATCTAGAAATTTCCCTGGAGCTGTTGCAGGCAGTGTGGGGTCAGTTCAGTTTCAGATAGTTCCTTGTTCCAGCTTACACTTCTCAAGGTCTATAGGCCCCTTCTAATGTAGTCAGTGCTAACTACAGGGTGTTAATCTATTGCACCTGTCGCTTCCAAAGCGGTTACCTCTGTTTATTTTGGCTTCCTCTGTTTGCAAGTCTCTTCAGTGTCTAATTTCTTCCCTGACACAGGGGGGCGATGGTGATCACTTATAGGCTCACTTGTTCAGTTGTGCTGCGGGGAGGGAGGGACAGTGTAAACAAACATCACTGGCGTGTGTGGGGAGTGCTCGCAGCGTCTCGGCCACACTGGGTTTGCCCCCGCTCAGGGCGTGTGTGCCTTCCTGGTCTACACTGCTCAGGCTCCAGGTTGCTCTGCCAGGAACTGTCTATAGCGGGCCCTTCCCAGGTCTAAGCCGCTCAGGTTCAGGTTCTCGGGTGCTCCACGAAGGCGCAGACTCGGTTGGGCCTGCGTTTTGTGCCCTCACAGGTCCGAGCAGCGCAGGCGACCAGGTGCTTGGGAAGTGCACTCTCCCCGGGTGTGCGGTGCATCTTATCACGTCCCGTTCCAGCCGCTCGGTGTCCCAGGTGCACAGCAGGAATCTCAGCAGGTGTGCCGTGTGTCTCCTCTGGGGAGCCGATCTCGGCTGTGACCCTCCTGATGGATGTCAGCTGTCCAGGAGCCCAGGAAGACTTGGTTAACAACTGGGAGCCTGCTCGCAGTTTGGTAGCGGATGCCGTCTCTGGGGCCAAGATTGCCCTTTTAAGGCTCTGGCTGTCACCTGCCTCTCTGCCTCTGGCGGGGAATGGGCCTGTCTGCAGCAGGCTAGCCCTCCTCTGGTATTCTCTCCGTCCTTTGTTCTGTGAGCGGGCTGGCAGTGCCTTAGGTTAGAGCTTTTCGCGGAAAAGTTCTCTCTCTGTTTTTGCCTCTCTCTCTGGCTATCCCACAGTTTGGGTTGCTTTCTCACGTTAGCTCCCCTCAGACTGTCCTCAGGGCATTCAGGCCCGGTCCTGACCCTAAGCAATGCAGCCTGTGCCCCCTGTTCAGTACCCGCTTGCTGGTGGCGGATGCGAGCCTCTGGGCTACTTCTCTGCTGGGAGTTGCAGTTAGGCACGTAATCTGTGGGTTTTATTTGTTTATTTATTTTACCTCCTGATTATGTTGCCCTCTGAGATTCCAGAACTCCCCACAGACCCGCCAATGAGAGGGTTTCCTGGTGTTTGGAAACTTCTCCTCTTTCACGACTCCCTCCCTGGGACGGTTCTATGTCCCTACTCTTTTGTCTCTTTTTTTCTCTTTTATATTTTGTCCTACCTCCTTTTGAAGACAGTGGGCTGCCTTTCTGGGTGCCTGGTGTCCTCTGCCAGCGTTCAGAAGTTGTTTTGTGGAATTTGCTCAGCGTTCAAATGATTTTTTTTGATGAATTTGTGGGGGAGAAAGTGGTCTCCCTGTCCTATTCCTCTGCCATCTTAGGACCGCCTGATTCTAATAGTATTTGTAAGGTATCTTCTTGAATAGATTTACTTTTAAAAAGCTAGTGACTTTTCTGCAAATGAGATTGCTTTTGTGGGCCAGGGAGAAAATTAAATTGCCTGTGACTTTATTTTGAAATTTTAGAGGGAAGAAGATAGGATATGATTTGTTTTGCGTACTCAAAGGAATAATGAGACAGATATTTTAGTATCTTATTTCTTCTTTGAGAGTCTAGAAAAGTGTTTTCATCTTTAGAAAAAAATTCTTGGGTTTTAGAACCTAATTTTTAAAGATGAAAATTTCAGACTCTCCTCTCTGCCCCTCAGTTTTGATATGCAAAGTACATTAGTCAGGATTCAGTCAGGAAAACAGAAGCCCCTCTTGGTTTTCCCAGAGTGAGGGGGTTTATACAGAGATAGAGACTTAGCATTGGAAGGTCTGGGCTGGCGCATGTCAGTGAGACTGTAGGAGGCCATCCCAGCCTGTGGCAGGTGGTTCTCAAGAGCCTGCCTGCATGTGCTGCCAGGTCATGGCTGCAGCCTGCTCATGAGACTGCCTGCCCCTGCAGTCTCCTACTTTTCTGCCTTTTAAGTGAGTATCTCTTTTTGGAAGACCTAACTCAGGACTGTATGGGCCTCAGAGAAGGGCCCTGGCTCCTCCTGTGACTGCAGAGAAAGTAGAAAGAGAGATGTTGAGTTGACAGCTGACCATTTGACACACAGCTGTGGTGATATCAGCCCTTCTCCTAGGCTGATTAGCAGGAAATAACAAGGCCATAATATTTCATTGAGCTTTGCTTTTTATGGTTAGTATATTATAAAAATGGACTTCCTTGGTGGCTCAGTGTTAAAGAATCCACCTGCAATGCATGAGACATGGGATTGATACCTGGGTCGGGAAGATCCCATGGAGGAGGAAATGGCAACCTACTCCAGTTTTCTTGGCTGGGAAATCTCATGGACAGAGGAGCCTAGTAGGCTGCAGTCCATGGGGTCTCAAGAGTGAGACACAACTTAGCCTCTAAGCAACAACATTATAAAAACAATAGGTTTGTTTTCCAAATGTAGTTATATAGACTTGACCATGTTTTTTCAAATTAAATACACTCCTCTTTCCCTCCCTCTCAAATTCTCATTTGCACCCTTAAGGAGAAGTCCTATGTGACAACTTAAAATTCAATAGAAATGAAATAATAATCAATTTGTCATCCTAGCCACATTTCAAGTGCCCAGTAGCCACATGTGGTTCATGGCTACTGAATTAGACAGTACAGAAATAGGGACATTTTCATTTTCATAAGACAAAATTCTATTAGACAGTGCTATCTTTGATATTATTTGTCAAATGCTTGTTATTTACCCAGCTCCTTTTTTTCTTTTTTTTTTTGTAGGTTAAAGAATTGTCTTAGGGACTAAATTTCTTTTGTAACATAGATCATCTATATTTTAGTTTGTTAGGTGCCTACAATGTAAATGTATTTTTCCTGGAAATGAATTCTGTTGAATGAATTGTATCTGTCATGTACTCTGATCCACAGAATTTAGAAGTCATTTGTGAGGATTATTACTGAAGTTTTGCCCTAATTTCCGTTTCCTTCAGATTCAGTGGAAGAAGGAGAGAAGATTGTGAAGACAGCACTGGATGCTTTTGGAAGAATAGGTAATGTTTCTTTGCATTTATGGTACTTACAGAGCAGCTTCTACCTTTCTAATGAATTATTTCTTATTTTAATTTGTTTGCTAAAAACTCTTGGTAATCAAATTTTTAGATTTGTTTTAAAATTTAATTTTTTTTAACAAACCCTAATCTTATTCCACAAAGGGCTTGAGGTGACAGTTTGTATGCATGTATGTGTTGAATTGGTTGGTTGTTTTTTGTATTTTAAGGGTCTTTAGAAAAACTTAAAAGCATTCTCTAAGTTTCCTTTTTATAGTAATTTAATCATATCCCCAATATATAAAAAGACATATATAATATATGATAATTTACATGATTATATAGTTATAATTATTTAATAACTATTAAAGATATTATATAATTTAATCATACCCCAATATACATATTGGGGGTATGATTATATATGTATATCAGAAAGAAAGAACGAAAGAATGAAAGAGAAGTCGCTCAGTTGTGTCCAACTCTTTGTGACCCCATGGACTATAGCCTACCAGGCTCCTCCATCCATGGGATTTTCCAGGCATGTATAGCAGAGGTATGATTAAATTATTATAATGCTTATTTAATAGTTACTAAGTAATTATAACTATGGGCTTCCCTGGTGATTCAGATGGTAAAGCATCTGCCTGCAATGCAGATTGGGTTTAATCCATGAGTCAGAAAGATGCCCTGGAGAAGGGAATGGCAACCAGTACAGTACTCTTGCCTGGAGAATTCCATGGACAGAGGAGCCTGGTGGGCTACAGTCCATGGGGTCACAAAGGGTCAGACACGACTGGTCAACTAACACTATTTATTAATAGTTATTAAATAATTATAATTAATAATTATATAAAATAATATGTATATATTTATTATTTTTGGCTGCATTGGATGTTAGATGTGGCTCATGGGGTCTTCTTTGTGGCATGTGGACTTCTCAGTTGCAGTGAGTGCTTCCTGCATTGCAAGTGCTCAGACAGGCGCCCGGGTGGGACAGACGTCTGGGGAAGGCGGGCCACGGGCACCGGGGACTCTTCCCCGGCTCCGCAGCTCCGCCCCCGTTGCCCCGCCCACCCGTGGACCCGGCGCTAGGGGGCGTGCGGGGCCCCGAATGTGCCCTTGGGCGCCGAGCTGCTTCCTGAGCTGGTACCCGGGTTTCCCTCCAGCCTGCCGGCCCAGCGTGACCCTGCGCGTCCCTGTGGGTCTCCACTCCCTGCTCGCGCATCTCGGGCCGCGGCACCGTGGAGAGGGGCTCTCCTGTTGAACAGACGTCTCCTGTGTTCCAAATTTATAAATTATAAAATTCATATACTTTTATAAAGTTAAATCCTAAATTTTATATTTAGAAAAATAAAAAATCAGTATTTTGGCAATAGAGGACTCAGTGGAATATTTTGGATAATTATAATTATCCAGGTTAAAGTGATTCCGTATCTTGCAGATTAAGATGAATTATATAAAAGTTCATTTTTGAGAAGTATTTCGATATATTTTTTAATCGTCCTAATTTAATCCCATACATTGTAACAGGTTACTGCATTACTGGAGGAAAAGCCCAACATGTTTCTAGTCAGAAAAATGTTGATTTTTATAGTTTTAATGTGTTCACACTCCCTTTTTTCTGGTCTACCATGTGTATTTTTTCTAGCTATATTTGGTTGAGTTTGTGAGAGACATGTTCACATATTGTCTGACACAGGGATGGAAGCCCTAAAGGTTTGAAGTCATAAAATGAAGATAGCCACAAGATGGTGGTTGAACCTTAAAAACAATCCCATTCTTTTTATAGTGAGGAGGCAACTGTGTATTCATATAGACTGTCAGTTTCTGATTCTAATGGTTTCCTTTCTGGGCTTTTGACTTTTCATTGGCAAGGAAAATTTTTTTAAACTTTTAACTTTCCCTGTGAATTTTGAAGTTGCCTGAGGGATGGCTTACGGCTACTGCTGAGTTCTAAGAACTTAAGTTATGTGACTGCTAATTCTGTAAATAAGTTCATAGAATTTTGGCAGAAGGTAGAGATGGAAAAATGTAAAAAATTTTTAGATATGCAGGTTTGAAAGAAAGCACTAATGTAATGTGATTCTTATGCTTTTGTGAATCAGATTTTTTTTGCTATAGGTATAAAATTTTGTTTTGCTAGCACTTGTTGCTTATTATATCTACTATTCCATGGGGAGAAAAACACTTTTGAAAGAAATGTGAGTTTTAAGCAAATGCAAATTAATATGGTTGCTTTTATATATGTGACTTAGATGTTTTTATATTGTAGATATTGTGATCAACAATGCTGGGTGAGTATTTCTTTTTTCATTTCCAATAAAGTAATGTATTTGCAAAGTTTTTTTTTTTTTTTTTTTGTATCTCTCATGTTTCTCATCTCAACAAATATAATGTCAATTTTTAGGATTCTGAGGGACCGTTCATTTAGTAGAATAAGTGATGGAGACTGGGGTAAGATGTTTTAATATTCTCTATGGAACATACTTATCCATTTAGCTGTTTGCTCCTTGATGTACTTACACACTTAAGGAAAATCTTGCTTCTACCTATTCTTCTTTCTACTAATGTAAGTGATGAATAAGCTTTATGACTGAAAATGATGAACATTTTGGGAGTAACCTTTTTTTAAACCTTCGAAAAATTTTAAAAAAATTAAAATCTGTTGGTGAAAGTTATCTAAAAGGTTTTTGTGCTTTTCATCTTTTTTTTTGTTTGTTTGTTTCTGAGAGATTGTCAGCATTTTCTTGCAGTATTTTTAACAGCTTTTTATGTGTTTGTCTGGCTGTATAATTGTTATTTCAACAGCATGAGAGGCTGTGGAAGAGTGTCTAAGGCACTAAAAAGGATGGAAATCTGAGAACTGTGTGAGAAAAGTCTAGATATAATTTTGAAACTTCTAATAAGTAGGAAAATTTTTTGTTAGGAATGTCATGTTGGAAAAATTGAGTTTAGATAGTGAACAGTCACTGTTATGAAAATGTTTTTCCATATTTGCTCTTTTTTGCCCTTACTTCATTAGCTACCAGAACTAAAACAATCAGAGACAGTGGCAGACGTAGTAACTGAGGTGAATTATGTTGTTGTTTATAGAGTGTGTTTCTGGGAAAGATTATCAAAAGTCCTTTTGGAAGAAGCAAGCCATCTCTGTGACATAGAATTAAGCAAAGACAGGCTTTTAGTTTTCTCTTCCCTTGTAATAACTGAGTAAAAGAGAAGCTGAGAAAGATAAGCTTTGTTGGCAAAGGAGACTTACCTTGGTGCTTTGCTTTGAGCTCTGATGGGGCTGCAGTGGCTTCATCAGGATAAAATTAAATCTAGAGTTGTCTCTCTGAATCATCCTCCAAGTTTTCTGTTCATTAGATTGCCATTTCTAAAAGCAGGCATCTGTTTCTCTTTTTCCCACTTTGCCTCCCCCTATTTCCTCCATTTCTTCTACTCCTCTCCCCAACTCTTAACTCATTTAGTAAACCCTGGTAAAAATAGGGATTAAGGGATATTATGAACATTTTATAAACATTTCTTGATGATAATGTGAATGATTTTTGATTATGCTCTAATTGATGTTTGTGTTGAGTCCCAATTACACATGTAGATTTCTTGGGTATTTGTATTAATGAATTTTTATATAAAATAGGCATATATTAAAGATGACATTGTATTTAGATGTGTGTACAAGCATCATATTTAGATGGCATTGTATTTGTTATAAAGTTGCAATAATCATAATTTATAGGCAAAATAGATATGAATTATTGATTGGATATATAATTGGGACTAAAGCAAAAATGATTACTCCGAGTATAATGTAACAGTAGTTGGAATGCTAGGTATAAAAAAGAACATCTTTGTATAAGTAAATCATTGCTAATGTTGATTCTGATATAAGTCTATCTAATTTTTTACAACATTCATGATAAAGATTTCTTGTTTTAGATATAATCCAGAGAGTTCATTTGCGGGGCTCATTCCTGGTGACCCGGGCAGCATGGGATCACATGAAGAAACAGAACTTTGGAAGGTAGAGTTGTATGTGGGTGTCAAGGGAGATTAGAGATGTTGTATGTGTGTTCTTGTGTATAGAGGAGAAGAATTGCTTTGATATGGAAAAATACACCTCCAGATATGCACAGGCTTTTTAAATATAGTTTTGGCACAAGCTTCCCCATTAAATTGGCATCAGTCATGGATCAGCCGAGCTGGACAACTTTGTATTTCTTTTTACCTCCTACTTTTCATTATTAATGATTTTCCTGCCATTCTCAGATATTTTAGCAGTACAAGCATTGAGGATTCAGCTCTGCTTTATTCTCTAACTAAAATATCATTTTGTGTGTCCAGTGACCAACTGGGGAGAGATGAATGTTGTTTTCTACCAGCTGGCTCTGCTCAGACATGAGTTAGTCTTTATTGACCAGGAATAGTAGGACCCTTACAGTTGCATCTCTGTGACTCAGATGTGGCAGACCTAGTAAGTGGCTGCATGTACTCTAATGTAAAGGCTATTCTTATTTTTTTTTTAAGGCTGTTCTTATTAACTTAGGGTTCACATACATCTACTAGAAGTAAATTGCTTGTGATGTATTTTCTTATTGGAGAGTTCTGGTGTATCCTGATATTAGCAGTTTCTGAAAGTAGATGATATGATTTACTTTACTTGTTCTACTACGTAGAGTAAGTAAGATTAGGTCAGATTTTCAGATGGTATTGTTTTAATATGAGGCGTTTAATATTATCCAGACAGGGAAAGGAGCAAAGTGATGAGGACTAAAGAATTAGGATTTCAGGATCTAATATTTCTTACTAAGATTTTGACTTGTCAATTGGCAGTTTATTTTTTGTTTGTAAATACTTATTGTTGTTTTCAGTAGATAATGAATATATATTTTTACACTTGAATTCATTTGTTCCTAACCAGGGATCTTTTTTTTTTTCCCCTCCAGGGATTCTTTTTAAAACAATAAAATCTTATAGTTGAATTTTGAGAGATTACTTTTGTTATTAATTTAGGTATATGAATTGTGACTTTAAGAACCTAATGCCGGTATACAGAGTTTCTTTTGACAGGTATAATAGTAATGAAAAAGAAAAAAAAGTGCTTAGAGCCGCAACATTATTAAAACAGAAAAGATTGAGAGATTGATTTTTCTTTTTAGAATCATCATGACTTCATCAGCTTCAGGGATATATGGCAACTTTGGCCAAGCAAATTATTGTGCTGCAAAACTGGGTCTTCTGGGCCTTTCAAATTGTCTTGCAGTGGAAGGCAAGAAAAACAACATTCACTGTAACACTATTGCCCCTACTGCTGGATCACGGATGACCCAAAACATTTTGCCTGAAGGTAAGTTTAGATTTTTCAGTGCTGCTCTCCACATATCTGTGTGGAGTGAACTTTGCCAGAGTGTTTAATTTTTTGAGTAACTAAAAAATTTCCTTACAGTTTAAAAAAGCATGATGTGTAATTTACATTCATTATGTAAAATTTAGGAAAGCACAAACAGGAAAAGTAAAAAAAATGACCCATAATTCTAACACACTGAGGTAAACTTTTTCTTTGTGTAGGTAGACATATGTATTTTTTTAACAGAATGAGGTAAAAGCATTCTTACTGTTTTGTAATAATTATTTTTAAAAATTAATGTAAGAATTAACAGATTGTTTTTTAAAAGGATTTGTAGAAGAATTGATCAGATAGTAAAGAGTGCTCATGTACTCCTTCTCCCACACAGTTCCCTGTATTTTTAACATCCTACTTCAGTGTGCTACATTTGTTACAACTGATGAACCAGTACTTATCCCTTCTTACTAGGTTGGCCAAAAAGTAATTGTTTCGGTTTTTCTATACCATCTGATGGAGAAACCAGAGTGAACTTCTTGGCCAATGCAATATTACCTACAGTTCATAGTTTAGGGCTCATTCTTTTTTTTTTTTTTTAGGCTCATTCTTTAGGTTGTCCAATCACATCATGGGTTTTCACAAATGTGTAATGTTATGCACCCACCATCACAGATCATATAGAATGGTTTCACTTCCTGGAAAATCCCCTGTGTTCCATCTCTTCATCCCTCTCCTCTTTCTCCCCAATGTCTGAGACGATTGAAGCTAGTTTCTTTTTATCACTAAATAATATTACATGGTATGGAGGTGCCTCAGTTTGTTTATTCATTCACCTGTCAAGGAATATTTTGATTATTTCCAATTTTTGACAATTATGAGTAAAGCTTCTGTGAACATTCATGTGCAGGTTTTTGTGTGGGTGAAGTTTTCAACTCATTTTGTTAAATATTAAGGAGGATAATTGCTGGATTGTATGGTAAGTCTCGCTTAGTAAGAAATTTTCAAGCGTCTTCCAAAATGACTGTATCATGCTTCATTGCCACTGACTGTCTGTGAGAGATCTTCTTGCTCCACATCTTGGCCAGCATTTATTATTGTTAGTCTTTTGCATTTTAGTTCTTCTAATAGGTATGTATGGTATTTCATTGTTTTAATTTTCAGTTCCCTAATGACACACGATGTACATTTTTTCCTGTGCTTCTTTGCCATTTGTTTGTCTTTTTTGGTGATGTATCTGTTCATATCTTTTGCTCATTTTTAAATTGGACTCTTTGTTTTCTTATTGTTGAGTTGTAAGAGTTCCCTGCAGATTTTGGAAACAAGTTCTTAATCATGTAAGTGTTTTGCAAAATATTTTTTCCCAATCTCTAACATGATTTTTAAATTCTCTTAATCTCTTTCACTTTTGAAGCATAATTTCACTGCTACAGAATTCTGGGTTGGTAATTTTTTTCTTTCAGCCCTTGAAATATTTCACTCCACTCTTCTATTGCTAACATTGTTTTTGAAGGAGAGTTTGACATAATTCTTTCCTTGTTTCTTTATGCATAAAGTCTATTTTTTCCCCTCTATTCCTCCAAGATTTTCTCCTTGTTTTTCTGCAGTTTGAATATAGTATGCATAATAATAGGTGTAGATTTTTGGCTATATGCTACTTGATATCCTCTGAGCTTCCTGGATATATGGTTAGTATCTGTTATTAACTTTGGAAAATTCTCAAACATCAGTGGTTCAACTATTTCTTCTTCCTTTTTTTTTCATTTTTCCTTCCATTTCTGGTATTCTCATTATGTGCCTTTTTATCATAATTATACAATACCACAGTTCTTTGATATCCTGTTACCCTTCTTTTTTTCCTTCTTTTTTCTCTTTGTGTTTCATTTCAGTTTGGGAAGTTTCTGTTAACATACATTCAGGCTTACTGATTCGTCTTTTCATTTTAGAATGTTACATTGTTTTTTAGCCTTTCCTTTTGATTTTTTTTCCAAGGCATTTCCTTCTGTCTGTTTCTAATAAGTCATCTGTCCCTTATAAATTGCCTGCTTTTTTCCCTTAGAGCCCTCAACATGTTAATTACAGTTATTTTAAATTCCTGGTTTGATAATTCCAAAATCTCTGCTATATTTGAGGCTATATCTCTGGTTTGTTGTTCTGTTTTGCTTTGTTTTTTGGCTGCACTGTGTGGCGTGTGGGATCTTGGTTCCCTAATCAGGGACTGAACTCATGCCTTCTGTTGTGAAAGTGCAGAGTCTTAACCACTGAACTGCCAAGGAAGTCTGTTTCGGCTGGTTCTCATGCTTGCTTTGTCTCTTCAGCCTGTGCTTTTCTTGTCTTTTAGCAGGCTTTGAAATTGTTGTTGAAAACTGAACATGATGTGTTGAGGGAGTAGATAGAAAGTGTGGTGTATTGAACTTGATTGTGAGGTTTCATGTTTGTCTGGCCAGGAGTTAGATTGTGTTTACTGGTTGCTGCAGATGTTGGTGTCAGAAACTACATTTTCCTCTCTGTCCTTGCTTTTGGGTACCCTGTTGTCTTTGGGTTTCCTTAGATACTCTTTGTTACAGAGCGTGTATGTTGCAGCACTCTCAGTTGTAATCTGCTGTTACACTGGAGCCCTGTTGAAGTGACTGTAAGTTAATGGAAGGGAGTGTGCTCTCTAATATGATAATTACATCTCCACTTTTTTAGAAGATCAGAGCCCCTTTACGCTGACTTTAAGAAGAGTTTCTTAGCCTTTCCCCAACCCCCCTTATTTGAGACAGGAGACTAGAGGGGCTTCACTTGTCTAATTGAAGCTCTGGTAATTTCTCTTAAGGATAGGCCTTTGTTAAGGAAAACAGAATGCTCTGGGCATATTTCAAAATGATTTTATTTTATTGACTTATTTTGTTACCCTCTCCCATTTTCTCTGTGATATTTCAAAGCAAATCTCAGGCATTACTTCTCACCTAATATATACTTGGAAATGTGTCTCTCCAACAGATACGGACATTATAACCACAATGCCAATAACACACTAAAGTAATTCATTAACATTGTCTAATACTAAGTTTGTATTAAAGCTTCCTAGTTACCTAAAAAGTATCTTTGTAGAGTTAGTTCATTTTCCAAGGACCTAAACATAGCCCACAGGCATTTGGTTACTGTGAGTGTCTGTGTGTGTGTGTGTGCGTTCAGTCACTCAGTCCTGTCTGACCCTTTGTGACCCCATGGACTGTAGCCCACCAGGCTCCTCTGTCCTTGGAATTTTCTAGGCAAGAGTCCTGGAGTGGGTTGCCATTTCTTATTCCAGGGAATCTTCCTGACCCAAGGATAGAGCCCACATCTCTTGTGTCTCCAGCATTGGCAGGCAGATCTTTTTAGAGTTAGTTTAGATCCAAAGGATCTAAACAGAGCCCATAGGCATTTTGTTACTATATCTCTTAAGTTTCATTTAACATAATAACATAATAGTTCATTCTCCTTTTTAAAAAAGTGCCAATTTTTTGTTGAAGGAACTACCAGTTCACCTATTCTATAGACTGTTCCTCATTCTTGATTTGAATTGCCCTTGCTCTTCTCTCAAAAATCAGCTGATCACAAATGTGTAAGTCTATTTCTGGATTCTCTGCTCTGCTGTGTTGATCTCTGGGCCTGTCCTTTTACTAATACCATGATGTTTTGATTACTATAGTTTTAGAGTAAGTCTTGAAATCAGGTAATGGGAGTCTGCCAACTTTATTTTTTGAAAACATGAAACATAAATTTTTAAATTAAAAAATTTAAATGTATGATCAAGAGCCAATGCTGATTTCAGTCAGTTCAGTTCAGTCGTTCAGTTGTGTCTGACTCTTTGCACCTCCATATGGACTGCAGCATGCCAGGTATCCCTGTCCATCACCAACTCCTGGAGTTTACCCAAACTCATGTCCATTGAGTCAGTGATGCCATCCAACCATCTCATCCTCTGTCATCCCCTTCTTCTCCCGCCTTCAATCTTTCCCACCTTCAAACTTTCCACCTCCCACCTTCAATCTTCAATAAATGCTGATTTATTTGGTTATATAATAAAGAGAATACTTGACTGGTACAAAACTGTGTGTAGTTTCTGATACTCCTGGCTTTAACATATGTTTAAAAGGAAAGTATCTATAATACTTTAAAAGTAGATTCTGTGAAACAGTACAAAACAATTGATGAGTGAAATTATTTTAAAATTAGCTGCTTCATGAAATGAAAGTGAAAGTGAAAGTTGCTTGGCTGTGTCCGACTCTTTGCCACCCCATGGATTATACAGTCCATGGAATTCTCCAGGCCAGAATACTGGAGTGGGTAGCCTTTCCCTTCTCCAGGGGATCTTCCCAACCCAGGGATCAAACCCAAGTCTCCCGCATTGCAGGTGGATTCTTTACCAGCTGAACCATAAAGGAAGCCCAAGAATACTGGAATGGGTAGCCTATCCCTTCGTGGAATACAAATGCTTATTCACAGTACCATTTTACTTTCTGCATTTGAGCTACCATTTGTTTTAGAACTTGCTGGATTTTTCTAAGAGCTGTGCCTAACCAGTTTGCTTTAGTGTTGAATAGGTATTTGTACCTGAGATCTAATTTTTTCCCTTTTTCTTGTCAACATGGCCATTTAAAAAAGTCCCTTATTTTAAAGACTCTATACTCTCATATCTTATTGAAGGAATTCTTGTTAAAGAACTAGATTATATGAAGAAGAGATACAATTCACTTTTTTCTCCCTTTTAAGTGTGTGTGTGTGTGTGTGTGTGTGTGCGCGCGTGTGTATGCATGCATATACACACAACAGCTACATACATATGCATAACAGCTTAGGTTACTGGTAAGAAATAAAGCATCAAAATGTAATCACAGTCATGAACTTGCTGCTCAACCCAAGAACTGAAGCATTACTTGCATCTAACTTTATACCTTCTATTCCTCTGCTTCATGCCAAGAGATAACCACTATTTAGATTTTTATGCTTATCATTTCTTTGCTAGATTTCTACCTTGGTCACTTTTTGCCATCATCTGTAGACTTTCTTGGGAAAGCAGCAAGTCTTCAAGAAAATACTGAAAAATATAGCTTTTAAATTCGCTTTCCTTTGAGAATGTAATTTGCATTAATTTGGACAGGTCTGTGCCTCTGGAGAAGTTAAGTCAATGTTTAATGTAGTGTCTTTACGTCCACCAAACTCTACTGAAAGATATTGGGAGAATAAGATCTACTTTAGACAAATAGCTTAATCTTTCTAGAGCTGTTTTCTCTTCTGTAGGTCATTGTAGGTCATTTTAAAAAGACACTTTAGATTCTCAATTTTTGTTATTTCAAATTTTGATATTGATTACTTTTTTATAGTTTAAAAAAAGCCAAAAATTTATTTTGCCTCAGTGTTTTTCTTCTCTTCTTCTGAAATATTCACTTACAGGCTATCAAAGGAATTATTTGTTAGAGAACCAGGTGTTCTGAGTAGTGTGTGGAGACATCTGTAATTTCATTTTCCCCTTTGAGATATATTTGATCAATGGAAAGTCATATATGAAACTTACATGTTTGTTGCATGAAATGAGACATAATCTTAGGATGAATACCTATGAACTTTCAAGTTGTATTATTTATTTACTGCTTTGTAATACATTACTTCAAGTTTTGTGGATTAAAACAAGTATATATTATCTCACAGTTTCTGAGATCAGGAATACTATAAAGTGAAAGGTTTTTAGAGCTGCTCTTTCATTTACAGGGACTGTAAATGTCATCTGTGTCACTTCAAAATATAAAACTCTATTTTGTCATTTCACAATTAAAATTTACATTTATTTGATTCTTTAAAGTTTATAAGCTGTGTTAACAAATTACATCTCCTTAGAACCTTGGGACAACTTGGTAGAATGGGCAGGCAGAGCATTTTGACTGCCGTCTTACAGATGCAGACACACGCCCTTGAGAGCTGAGTGATGTTCTCAGTGCCCTAAGTTGCCTGTGTGGCAGGGCTGGCAGTAACGTACAGGTGTTCATGCTCCCTGTGAAGTACATTTCTGCCTGTTAAGTTGCTCACAGAAGGTATGCAACAGGAAGATATTTCCTACACTCTGTGGCTCATCAGTAATGGCTGCACGGTCCATTTTATATCATTATCTTACTGTCATGACACTTGTCAAGGCTCTTTTATAGTTGTCTAGCTCCTGGGAGAGCAAAATAGTTTTGTGAACAGCTGGCATCTAAATTCCTTATGTTGTGTATGCCTTTGTTCACCAGTCTTTGCTGAGACAGCTTTAACTTGTCTTCTAAACAGAACGTTACTGACCTTGGAAAGGTATGCCTGATGCTTTCTGTGTTAGAAACCTGAAAGTCTCCATTGCGATGAAAAGATTCTTCTAAAAGCCTTGGATGTTAATACTAATTAATTTTGTATATTTGATTTTTTTCTTACTTAAAAAGTCTCTGAATCTATAAGTAAGGAATTTTTGGAAAGTAAAGTAATTGATTGAATATGTATATATTCTTGTTTGTAAGGGTCTTTTTTGCTATGTATTTCAGATCTTCTGGAATCCCTAAAGCCGGATTACGTGGCACCCCTGGTCCTTTGGCTTTGCCATGAGAGTTGTGAAGAAAATGGTGGCTTGTTTGAGGTATTCTGTACCTTTCTGTTTTCTCCCAAAGCAATATTTGTTTAATAAAATATAAAAAAATTCAAAAATTCATATTTTTCAATTGTTTATGCCTGTAAAAATCTATATCAGTTGATATCACTTATGTGTTTTTTTAATATTATGTCTCTATGTTATAATTAAGGAACAAGTATGACATATCCTTTTTTGAGAAAGTAACAGCAACTTGTAAATTCTGTTTTTCCCTAGTTATTTATTTCTGATATTATTTTCAGATGAAAGATTGTGACTGGTATGATGCATTTAGTCATACAGAAAATCTTATTTTTTTGATACTGAGATATTGAGTAATTTTGATATTGAGTAGTAAAGTGAAAGGGTAGAACTGATGGTTTAAGGTCAGCCAGGTTGTATTTTGGTTTCTTGCTCTGGTAATTGCTGACTCTCTGGAGTAGTGTACAGATTAATCTCCCTGAGTTTAGTTTTCTTGGGGTTTTGCTGTGAGAACTGGAAATCATATTTTTAAACTCTTAGTATACATAGCAGCCACTCTTTAATTTTAACTATTATATCAGTATAGCAGGAATTCAGTCTGGGTATGATAGATCAGTAAACACAACTTATTAGTTGTATTGACTTTAAAAAGAAACTTTTCTGTTTTTCCCTGTTGCAAAGCTTTATAAATGTTATAGAAATAAAAACCACACATAACCACACCATCCAGTGAGATCCAGTTTTCATTTTATAGTCAAAATCCCTTCAGATTTCTTTATGCTGCTACGTAAATAAATAAATATATATATATGTGTGTGTGTGTATATATATATATATATTTTTTTTTTTTTTTGGCTGTGCTTGCAGTGTATAGGATCTTAGTTCCCTGACCAGGGATTGACCCCATGCCCCCTGCATTGGGAGTGCAATGTCTTAACCACTGGTCTGTCAGAGAAGTCCCTGTATTTTTGAGTCCTCATTTGAGTTTGATCTTTTTTTCTTTTCTAGCATGAACTGTTATGTTTTCGGTCATCCTCCTTTGTTTGATTCTCTGTGGTAATATAATAATAAACCTATTGTATATGGAAATACATGACTCCAGAGCTATTTCTTGGTAGAAGAATAACCTGGCTCAGTTTGAAATTAATGATATATTAGTCTGATTTATTTGAATAAAAAGCTGTTTCACTTACTAGTGAAAAGCAGTCTATACAGGCCTAAGCAGAGGTAGGTACATCTACTCTCTTAATCACAGTCACAATTGATTGTGAATTGTGAAAATTAAAGGTGGAAAGAACCTTATGACTCTAGGTTTATAGAAGATGAGATTTAATAATATGAAGCCATGTGGCACTCCAGATTTGGCCTGCATGTCTTAGTATCTTATTAAGGGAGTTTTAAAAATCTATTTGTCTTTTACATTTACATTTGTTATTAATTCTGTGAATAAAAATAATGTCTGCTTTTTTTTTTTTAGAAAACTTCAAATATGCAGGGGAATATATAGAAGAAAATAAAATCTTCCACATTACTACTATCCAGAGATTATTCCTATTCGTATTTTTATGTGTATTCTCTCCCAGTCTTTTATTAGATGTGCATTTTACACGAGTAGTCTCTCTTTTTAGATATGCATTTTACACACACACTTATTCATACACAGATAATTAGGATAATGCTAAGTGAAGTTTCGTATGTTATTGCTTTATTTCACTACATTGTGGACATTTTTAGCAAGGGACACTGGGTATGCAAAATTGAGTACAAAATGCAGTAAGAGAGGTGTGTAATATCCTGACTTAAACCTCATTTTTTTTTTAGAAAACTTCAAATATGCAGGGGAATATATAGAAGAAAATAAAATCTTCCACATTACTACTATCCAGAGATTATTCCTATTCATATTTTTATGTGTATTCTCTCCCAGTCTTTTATTAAATGTGCATTTTACACGAGTAGTCTCTCTTTTTAGATACGCATTTTACACACACACTTATTCATACACAGATAATTAGGATAATGCTAAGTGAAGTTTTGTATGTTATTGCTTTATTTCACTACATTGTGGACATTTTTAGCAAGGGACACTGGGTATGCAAAATTGAGTACAAAATGCAGTAAGAGAGGTGTGTAATATCCTGACTTAAACCTCAAACGTAAGTTGCCACTTTGTTTGTAAAGCTTTGATAAATATCTAGAATGGCAGAGATTTTTGGGTCAATTGGAGCTATTGTTTCTTAGCATCTGAGACGAGTTTGCAGCTTGTGGCTTCACTCCCCAAATATGTTAAAAGATGACGTTTTTCTTGCCATCAATGCCATGCCACTGACAGCATCAAGGCTGATTGGCCTATTAAGATATATATAAAGGAAAGGGTGATTAAAAGCCACACTCTTGAACCTAGAGCCACTGAAAAGTGTGTTGTTTGTTGATAATATCTTCTTCTCTTATATGCATTGGAACACTGTAGTTGTGGTGTTTCAAGATAGGACAAAAAGATTTTCTTCCATCAGACATTTTCTTCTGAGGATTTCCTTGAATGACTTTTAGAAAAAATATCATCTTTCTGCATGGTGATTAATGTATTTGGTCATTTGTCTTATCTATATATAAAGGTGTTTCATTAAAATGACTATGTAGTTCATTAAGTCAAATGCTGGTTTTGTCTTTTGTTATTTTATTTATTTATTTTTGTTCATTAAGTCTTTGTAGAGGGTTATGTATTTCAAGTGATGCGCTGGGCACATTTGGTTTTTATATTGTTTAACCTTCATGGTTGCCTCATCAAGAGTGTATTATTATCCTAATTTTACATAAGTGGAATCTTGGGTATAGGGAAGTCAAATAGTTTGACCAGGATTGCACAGCTAGTCAATAGAAGAACTGGTATCACCTTATAGAGTCATGCTTACTATGTATGTTGCTACTGTAGGTGCTGCTTAAGTTTTCTGCTTTGATAGCATAAATAGTGCAAAGTCATGTGGGCCAGTGGGCTTTAGTAGATCTGTAGGTTTAGTAGATTTAGTGTTTTTAGTAGATTTAGCGTTTTTAGTAGATTTAGCATTTTTTTCATCCTTTGTCATCTAGCATTCCGATACTCTTAAATAGCTGTTTTTTTTTTAAACTTTGAAAATTCTATTAGTAGTTCCACATTAGATGGTATAACTTTTCCCCCCCTCTTTTTGGTAGGTTGGAGCAGGATGGATTGGAAAATGTAAGTGTCTTTTGATTTTTGTTTTGCTGTACATTATTTCCATTTTTTTAAACCTGTATATCCAGTTAGAGCTGTCAAATGTCTAACCGTGGGATCTAGTGCACGCATAATCAAACTCAAACATTGTTATAGCAAAGACGTCTTCTAAATAAAGGAAGTTGTCGTGCACGCCTGTGCCATGTTCTGGGATCTTTTCAGTTTTTTTCCTGTTGGCAGTCCTTATTCAGCATTTGTCCTGTCTTCTTCAGAGCTGGCTGTTTCTTCAGACAGCACAGTACCTATATCGATGTCCGTCTGTCCATGTCTCTGACACACCCCACGTGGCTGTTCAGCAGAGGAGTGAGTGGGAGGGAGGGCGTCTGTTGGAAAGTTGGGAGAAGCTGTGTCCTAGATGGCGCGACTGGCAGGTTCTCTACTTCTCTCATGGACTCTTTTCTTCCTTGGCGCTATTCTTCTTCAGCCCAATAGTAAATTTGTCTGGCTTCAACCCTTTCTTCCCCCAGTTCTTAAATGCTGTGAGCTCCAAACTGGATAATTACTTTACGGCATTTAAAAAAATGTTGTGAACATACCAGTATCCCAGTTCAAGTTTTCAGTTGGATGTTGGTATCAAAATTAATTGAATTATTTAATAGTCTGCCATGAGTGGATGACATTGTTACAATAGAGTAATATTAATGATCTCTCTAGTTATGAAGTAACATTCAAACTTTTTTAAGTATCTTGTGATATCTTTAAGAAAGAAAGGGTAGGTATTGCAATAAAAGCCATATGTGGAACTTCATCAGCAGGAAATCTCTAGAGGCTTCTGTCATTCCCCAAGACAAATCTTCACTTTAGTCATCGTCAAAATCTGACCATTATGTTTAAATAAGGTTACTAGTGATTATTTATTTCTGAGGCCTTTTAAAAAAGAAACAATGTTAAAAATCTTAGAACTTATGCAGCAATGATTTTTGTGAATCTGGGCAATCAAGTTGACTTCCCCTGGATAGAGAGGAAGAGCAAAAGGAGGAAAAGGGAGAATTATTTGGGGCTGTCCGATACATTAATTTGATTATATGGAGTCTTTGACCTGTTACCATTTCAGTTTCCTATCCAGCAAAGCTCTATTCTGTTCTGTTACCTTAAAGTGGAGTATCTAAGTGATCTGTGGTGATGAAGTCAGTTTTTCTGTGTGATTATATATAATTTAACTTCTGATTCAGTAATTCATCCTACCTTTAGTAGTATCTGGCATAGGCAGAGGAGAAAGAGGTTTTTTGCTTCAGCTTTAAATATTTAAAAAAAATTTAATACTATCTTAGTAGGTTTGAAGAATAAAATGCCATTTAAGGCTTGTAGTAAAAGTCTTTAGAAGTTAGAATCTTTTTTCCAAATTCCATCTTTCTTGAAGTTAAAAAAAAAATTCATCAGACTCATGAGTTCTACTTTCTGTCTATGTGTTCAGCATCTCAGTTTTGTTTCTATAACCAGTACGATGGGAGCGGAGCCTTGGAGCCCTTGTGAGACAGAAGACTCAGCCAATGACTCCTGAGGCAGTGAAGGCTAACTGGACAAAGATCTGTGATTTCGATAATGCCACCAAGCCTCGGAGTATTCAAGGTAAAGAAGTGAGTTCAGTCCTGCCTGGGGGATCAGAGGCAATAAAGCGTTCTCTTCTCTTATGGAACTGTCTTCTTAACTGTGCTAACTTAGATGCTCGAGTCATCCACAGTACATTTTCTGCTCCAGTAGGTATTAGAACTCTCCAATTTCAGATATGTATGTTACTCCCACTGTCAGTTTATCAATTTTCTTTTTTTTTGTCCTGTTACATTTTTTTTTCAAGCCTCTTTTTATTTATTTTAAAAATATGAGCATCCAGTGGTCTTTTTATTTATTTATAATTTCATTGGATCTTCTTGCTTTTGCATGGGCTTTCTCTAGCTGCAGAGAGCTGGGACTGGCTACTCTTTGTTGCATTGCGGGGACTTCTCATTGCAGTGGCTTCTTTTGTTTCAGAACACAGGCTCTAGAGCAGGTGGGTTTCAGTAGTTGCAACACACAGGCCCAGTAGTTGCAGCTTGTGGGCCCTAGAGCACAAGGGCTTCAGGAGTTGTGGCATGCGAGCTTAGTTGCCCCTTGGTATGTGGAATCTTCCTGGATCAAGTACCAAACCCATGCCACCTGCATTAGCTGGCAGATTCTTATCACCTGCGCCACCAGGGAAGTCTAGTTTTTCCAGTTTTCTTCTGATCCTAGTTTTTCAGTACGTGTGTGTGTGATTGGGGGATGGTAGAAAGTGTTTACCCATTTGTGCTCAATGCATCTGTTCCCCATCTGATGGTTGATTTCAGTCTTGCCGTATCTAATCACATGCTCCTTATCTGACTTGATTTTTTTTTTTTAATTTCCTCAAAAGCTTATTTAGGTCTATTTTATTTAGGCTTAGGGCTTTTCTATCTAGTGAATAGATTTTGCTTTGTTTTAGCACTTTGTCTTTGTTCCTGTTTCTCTGCCTTTCTAAGATATTCCTTACTCCTTTTATCACCTCTGCTAATCTCAATGCTTCTTCAGAAAAACTCAAGCCCTAGATGTTCAACAAAATCTTCCCAGATATTCTGGGTTTCATGGATCTCTCTCTTAGCTGAACTCTTCCGCTTGAGCATCTAATCACGACTGCTTTCCACTACTTTTTTTCATAAGTAGGTGGTTTCTTAACTGGAGGGTTCCTTTGGAGGTAGAGACTGTATCTTGTGTGTCCTTCTTTTGTATTTGGTGCTAGGGTAGTGCTGAACTCATAGAAAGCATTTAGTAAATGCTTGTTATTGTGAGTTATTGAATCGTCTATGATATGCCACAGGAAATGACCAATAAAAATTATATTGTTTTTTCTAGTATAATTCACATATGTTTATAGTACATGAAATTTAAAGGCCTGTCTAGGAAAGATAATGAATTGAAATTATTTTGCAGGAAAATTATTTCCCCCCTAGCATTATATTTAATGTTCAATAGAAGAATATATCTGAAAAATGACTAGCCTGTTATTTTTCTTTTTATCCTAATGATGCTTCCCTGTCTGCTGGTACACTTGCTGAAATTTTTATTAAGCTTTTCTCAATCAGGGTATGATTATTATGTCATTAGAAGTATCATTTTCTGTATTCTTTTTTTTTTTTTTAGTATTTGAGGTAAGTTTAGTCTGTGAATAGCAGTCACCTATCAATGAAAATGAGGAAAAGGAAAAAGGAAGAAATATCTTAAAAAAACTTTTCTCAGATGTCAGAATTCCACTTCATTGCCTTAAAAGTATTAGACTAATTCTTTGCCAGTTGCTTCATTTGCTATTATTTTCTCCCACTCTGAAGGCTGTCTTTTCACCTTGCTTATAGTTTCTTTCATTGTACAAAAGTTTTTAAGTTTAATTAGGTCCCATTTGTTTATTTTTGCTTTTATTTCCGTTACTCTGGAAGGTGGGTCATAGAGGATCTTACTGTGATTTATGTCAGAGAGTGTTTTGCCTATGTTTTCCTCTAGGAGTTTTATAGTTAATCTCAAAAATATACAAACAACTCATGCAGCTCATTACCAGAAAAATAAACGACCCAATCAAAAAATGGGCCAAGGAACTAAACAGACATTTCTCCAAAGAAGATATGCAGATGGCTACCAAACACATGAAAAGATGCTCAACATCACTCATTATCAGAGAAATGCAAATCAAAACCACAGTGAGGTACCATGTCACGCCGGTCAGAATGGCTGCTATCCAAAAGTCTACAAGCAATAAATGCAGGAGAGGGTGTGGAGAAAATAAAGAACAGACTTTTGAGCTCTGTGGGAGAAGGTGAGGGTAGGTTGATTTGAGAGAATAGCATTGAAACATGTATATTACCATATGTGAAATAGATCACCAGTCCAAGTTTGATGCATGAAACAGGGCACTCAAAGCTGGTGCCCTGGGACAACCCAGAGGGATGGGATGGGGGGAGGTGGGAGGGAGGTTCGGGATGGCGGACACATGTACACCTGTGGCTGATTCATGTCAATGTATGGCAAAAATCACAATATTGTACAGTATTGTACAATATTGTACAGTAATTAGCCTCCAATTAAAATAGATAAGTTAATTTTAAAAAGTATTAGACTAATATAAAGAAAAAGCTAACTAATGAATTATATATTTATAAATGAAAAGATACCCCTAGTATTTGAAGTACAGTTAGGGAAAAAAACCTTACATTGTTTGTAAAATCGAGACTTTCCAAGCACCCATATCAGTGTTCTCATTTTACAGATGATGGAACTGAATTCCAGAAAAGTTGAATAAGTGGGCCTCACTTTCTCAGTGTTTGAGCCAAGAGTTAATTCAGATGGTCTGTCTGTGAGTTCAGTACTGTCAAGTCTATACCAAGGTGGTGGTTGTTGTTTAGTCACAGAGTTGTATCCAGCTCCAGGAGAGGCTCCTCTGTCCATGGGATTTCCCAGGCAAGAGCACTGAAGTGCGTTGCCATTTCCTTCTCCATTTCCTGACTCAGGGATCTTATGGGTTCTTTACCACTGTGCCACCAGGGAAGCCCTGATAAATCTTAGGGCACATGTTACTCATGATGCTCCACGAGTCTCTTTTATTAACCTTTTAGACCTCACAATAGCAGCTTCTGAACTCTCTCTGGAGTCATTGGTCATAATGGGTGGTTTTCTGTGGAAGAATTTTCAGTAATATTTTCTGAGGTTACCTGTATAGAGGCCCGGGGGGCAATCTTGACATTGTTGCATCCTGGAGCGGGGGTGGTGATGGTGGGGAAAGAAGGGAAATTAGCTTTCCCTCCACTATCTTGGAGTTGTACGTCTGTGGACAAGGGTCCCACTTTACAGAATTGTAAAATTTCTCAGAGACTTTGCAAAACTCCGAGCCTGCTTAGAATCTTAACCTGAAGAGTCTATGGAAACACCCAGTTATCTTTCATCTGCTCAGTCTTTCACATTTTTTTCCTGTAATAATAGCCTGACATCATATAGTCAGTTCATGAACACAAGTGAAGTTTCTGTAGTAGGTTTGCTGGATATTACAGCGTGATTATCTAAAGCATTGTAGTTTTTCTCAGTCACATCTGTAACAAAAGCATTTTGTGTGTGTGTGTGTGTGTGTGTGTGTATGTGTGTGTATGTGGAAATAGCTTACATTTATTTGGATTTTACCAGGGGAACATTAGCTCTTTATGACTCTTGAAAGATGATGCTTTTGTGATCTTTATGTAATAGGTTTACCAAAGCACCCTGTCTTATTTAAATTCCAGTAATCCTAAAGAGAAAATTCAGTTTGTGCTTTAGTTATCCTGCATTGAGGGACTTGAATTTCATGACTGAAAATTTTTTTCAGTATAAATGAAATATAGTTCTTTACAAGAAAAATCTTGAAGTTTGTCATGTATGTCACTGTTTTTTTTTTTTTTTTTCGGTATACCACTATTTAAATGGCAGTGTGCAATAATTGGCTAGATGTTTCACATGTGCAAATGTTTTCCCATACCTTAGAGGGAGTGGTATTTTTAAATTTATTTTTAATTGGAGGACAATTGCTTTATAATGTATTGGTTTCTGCTATACAACAACGTGAATCAACTCTAAGTATACATATATCCCTTCTCTCTTGAGCCTCTCTTCCACCTTCCCTCTCCCTGGACCCCTTCCCTCCCTGTCATCACAGAGAAGCAAGCTGAGTTCCTTGTGCTATGTAGCAGCTTCCCACTAACTGTCTATTTCACACATGGCTAGCGTATATATGTTGATGCTACTCTCCTGTTTCGTCCCCTGGCCTTCCCCTGTTGTGTCCACAAGTCCATTCTCTATGTCTGCATCTCCATTCCTGTCCTGCAAATAGGTTCATCAGTACTGTTTTCCTAGATTCCGTATATATGCATTCATATATGATATTTGGGCTTCCCAGGTGGCGCTAGTGGTAAAGAACCTGTCTGCCAGTGCAGGAGATGTAAGAGATGTGGGTTTGATCCCTGAGTTGGGAAGATCCCCTGGAGGAGGCCATGGCAAACCTCTTCAGTGCTCTTGCTTGGAGAATCCCATGGACAGAGAAGCCTGGTGGGCTCCAGTTCATAGGGTCGCAAAGAGTCAGACATGACTGAAGTGACTTAGCCCAACACATACGATATTTACTTTTCTCTTTCTGACTTACCTCACTGTATAACAGGCTCTAGGTTCATCGACCTTGGAGTGATTTTTTAAAAATTAATTTTTATTGGAGTATAGTTGATTTACAATGTTGTGTTAGTGTACAGCAAAGTGAATCAGTTGTACATATACATGTATCCACTCTTTTTTGGGTTCATCTCCCATTTAGTCATTATGGAGTACTGCGTAGAATTCCCTGTGCTAACAGTAGGTACTTATTAGATATGTGTTTTTTGTGTAGCCGTGTATATATATCAGTTACAGTTTCCCAGTTTATCCCTTCCCCTCTCCTCTTCTCCCTTGGTCACACAGGTTTGCTTGCTACACCTCTAACTCTGTTTTATAAATAAGTTCATTTGTACCATTTTTTTAGATTCTATATATAAGTGATATCACAGGTATTTGTCTTTCTCTTTCTGACTTACTTCACTCAGTATGACAATCCCTGGGTCCACCCATGTCTTTATTTAACATTATTTCAGTTCTTTTTATGGCTGAGTAATGTTCTATTATATATGTGTACCACATCTTTATCCATTCATCCATTGATGGATAAAAAGCATTATTATTATTATTTATTATCCTTTTTTTTTTCTAGAGTCCATTGGCAGTATAGTTGAAGCTCTAAATAAAATAAATTCAGGTGAAGGAGTTTCAGCAAATCAGACCAGTCATGCAACATCAGCAGACACATCTGGATTTGTAAGTGGAGGAGAAAACCTAAAACTCTGCCTTCTGTAAAGATTTCTTCTTTTCTTTCCTTTTTTCCTTTCTCTTTTCTTTCATGCAAAAAGTGGTTTTCCAAGCTATTAATTTATTGTTAAATAGGAAAGATAAATGACTGTAAAGCTTTATAAAACATGTACTAAATATGTATAAAATTTGAATGGAATTAAGGTTAAAATATTAAATGTAACTTTTACTTATTCTTCTTCAGTGTGTCTTCTGTTTTTTGGAGCATTTTGATTATCATACTTTGGTCACTTTCTAACTTTTTAGAAAAGGATATTTAGTTTAGTGCCTCTTTTGAGTCATGTCTTTTAAGAGAAAGTATTGACAGATTGTATTTTGGAAATATGTCAACATGGCTGCAAGTAAAAAGTCTCCCACTGTGTGAGAAAGTCTAATAGAAGTCTGGTTATAGCTCTTGTGAAGTTTGCTGATTAACTATCTCTGGTGTGTCTCCCTTATTTTTTTTTTTTAATTGTAGTGCATAAATAAGAAATAAATCATTTGACACATTCAGTTGTGGTGTTTTGTGAGTCACGGCAGACATAGTGATAAAATAAATAATCTAATTTTAACCCTGAGAATATGATCAGTTTATAAATGTGATTTTACTCTGTTGGCCCACTTTTTGGTTAAGGGCCAGATAAAAAATATTTTAGGCTAGATGGACCACACACTGTTTCTGACACATAATCTTATTTTTCTTTTGTTAGACCACTCTTAGAAGATGTAAAAAATCATTCTTAAGTCTCAGCTGTTGTTTGTTGACTCCTGCTTAAAATGAAAGTGATCAAAAATGGACATCATTCTTTTATAACCTAATATGCTTCACAAATTAGCTAGGCAGGTCATCACTAAGTAGAAAAATACAATATCCAGTTAGATAAAGAACAGTTCTGGGTAACATCTTAAGGTAGAAATCTAATTTTAACTCAAACTATTATGAGGGAGTCTAATTTATAATAAGCACTAGCAGCATTTTGCTCATCTGTTTATACTGACTTTTATATAATAGAGCTTACAGAGCCATTCATTATTCCTATTTATAATAAATTTGGTATTTTTTTAATAATTTTGAGTAGCTCACAATCACTGAATTAATAGGGTCTTCCATCGTCAGAGACAGGAAGGTTGAAAATGAGATAACCAATCTGTTAGCAAGAAGCAGGCAATAAAAAAGTACTTATTTGTAAATGAAGTCTTTTTCCACATGTTTTTAATTGTCTTTATATAAAAATCAAATGTAATGAAACATATTCCATTCAAATTCACTAAAATACCATTCTGTTTATGAAACTAAATATGTAACAGTTAATAGTTTTGAAAAGTTAACAATTTAAAGATTTGATAAGAGTATCAGTGAAAAAATAATTTTCTACAATTGGTCCACAGGCTGGAGCTATTGGTCATAAACTTCCTCCATTTCATGCTTCTTATGCGGAACTGGACACTATTATGTATGCCCTTGGAGTGGGAGCATCAGTCAAGGAGCCAAAAGATATGAAGTTTATTTATGAAGGGAGTTCTGATTTCTCCTGTTTGCCAACCTTCGGAGTTATTCTTGCTCAGAAATCTATAATGGGTGGAGGATTAGCAGAGATTCCTGGGCTTTCAATCAACTTAGCAAAGGTATGCATAATAAGAAATCTTTGTTTTTCTGTTTCTTTAAATATGATTGGTAAATGTCACATTAGTGTGTGTGTGGTGTATTAATGCAACAGTATGTACTGGTTGATTCAGGAATAAAGATTTAACATGTCTTTTGATTTTTCTTTTTAAGAACAGAAGGGTAGGCAGCTGAAAAGGCAAGCAAAAAGAAGAAAACAACAATTATGTACAGTCCTGCAACCTTGGCATAATGTTATTAATTCTCTCTGTGTCATTAGTTGCTATTTGACCAAGAGTAAATAGCTTCTCTAAGCTTCAGTTTCCTTATATGTAAGTTCCGTATGATAATTGTTACGTGATCATAGTGATGAAGGAGCAAGAGGAAAGAGTATATGAAACAGAGAGAACAGGTGAAAAAGGCCCAAGGTGCATACTTAAGTGCATACTTAGCTTATTTTTAGAACAGCAGGGAGGTCAATACAGCTAGCCATAAATGAGCAAGGAGGCAGTGATAGGAGAAGAGGGCCTTGTAGTCACTTGAGAATTTCAGCTCACTCTGATTAATATGAGAGGCCATTTGTAGTGCTTTGAACAGAGGAGTGATATGATCCGGCTATGTTCACTCACAGTCTCATTTTTGCTTCTCTATAGAGAATAGATTATATGGGGGCCAAGCATGGAAGCAGGGAAACCAGTTTGGAGTCTATTATAGTAATTCTAGCACAAGGCTTGATGTACATGGAAAGAAAGAGGAGTCAAGGATGAAGGTTTTTGGTCTGGTTAACTGGGATGATGTATATGCATATATATCTATGTATGATTTATAATTAATTATACACAATATATTTAATATGTATGGTAGTTACATATGACATTATTATGTATAATAAAATAGATGTGTGCAGTTACTTTAAGGTGGGGATGATCAGGAGTTGGTTTTGGTGGAGATACAAAGTGGGCAGTTGAATATATGAGTTTAGAGGTTGGCGGATGGTCCTCCTGGGATTCTTAGCATTTAAGTGAGATTTAAAGACATGATACTATGTGAAATCACCAGTGTATGAATATAGGTAACGAAAACCCTGAATTTGGGAATCCTGTGGTAAATTGAGGTTTACAAGATGAGGAGAAGTTAATAAGGGAGACTGGGAAGGAATGAGATGGAAGGAATGAATGAAAAGGAAGGTATGGGAGGAATGAGACTGGGAAGAAGGAGAGACTGGGAAGACAGAGACTGGGTGAAGTATGAGGAATGTCAGGAGAATGTGGTATTTGAGAAGCAGAGTGAATAAGGTGTTTCAAGAAGGAAGGAGCAAACAATTGTGAGAAGGTTTCTGAGGTAGGATATATTTTATTTCTTGAAGTAAGGTTCAGGTCATAGACCCAGTTGATAACTGTTGAATCGTAAACCCTTAAAACTGATTTCTGTGATTTTGATTGATTGGAGAACCCATTTACTAGAGAATCGTTAGTTCATTGCTTCTCTGAGTCCATGAGAATCTACACTTATTTTATTATTTGATGAAGTTGGGAGGGAGGCAAGAAATAGATGCCAAGAAGTTTGTTGTTTCAGTCATTCTCCCATGGCATTTGTTGCATACAGTTTTCCTGTTTGGATAATGTCCTTGTAAACAATTAAAGCTGATATTTCAGAATTCTTCCTTGGAGTTGAAAGGAATTGGACATCATGAGTGGTATTCAAAATCTGTGACTGGAAATGATAGCCAGCTTGGGATTTGAATCCCAGTCTTCCCAACCTTGAGTTTCAAGACATGATATTGAGGCCATCCTTCATTTGTCCTCTCGTCACTATCCTCCTCCCCATTCTGTTTCCTTTCTGGGTTCTGAGGAAGACTGGGAATTAAACTGTCCCATAGCAGTGGAATGTGGTCATTCGGATATGTGGTCAGGTTTTTTTTTTTTTTTTTATTGTTCACTTGTTTTCCTGTATTATATTCTTATATTGTTTTGATAAATTGAGGTTAATGTGGCTGTGAAATTACACAAGGTCTTTGGTATTTACTCTTTGTAGGTAATTTGTAAGATATAACACTAAGGAAATGTTGACATTGATAGTGCTTTTACTCTAACCATGGCTTTAATATTTATCTTTGTGTTTTGGTTGAGTCATTTGTATTTGCCAGGTATCACCTGAAATTACTAGTACTGACTAGTTTGTTTATTTTTATACAGTAGATATGTAGTGGATACCCAGTGTGTTCCAAGCATGGTGATAAGCCCTGGGAATATACTGAGTTTAGTGTCTCCATGGCAAATAATACACAATTATCACTCAGCAAGGATTAAGAATGTCAAGAAAGAAGACAGTGTATCTTCTCTGTTCCAGAGAGCCAATTGTCTTTAAATTGGGGGACTGATGATTTCTGAATAATATAGTTAAGGAATAAGAGCCAAACTGAGATAGATAGTTTGGGGGAAGTAGTCATGTGAACAAGTGGGCAGTGAAATGCCACTTAGGATTAGCAGTATTCACAGAAGAGCCTATGGAGAAAGGAAGTCTACTGACCAAATTTTGCTTACCTTAATGTAGATTCTTCATGGGGAGCAGTACTTGGAGTTATATAAACCAATTCCCAGAGCAGGTGAGTTCTTGATCATATGTAATTTTATGTTCTGACTAACCTTCCAAACTGTGTCAGTGTGTTAAACTGGCAGAGAAGTGACTAAATAAATTCTATTGTAAGTTATTTGTGTGCATGTCAGTCATTAGTGTATATTGATGTTTTTTGTTTAATCACTATGTCTAATTCTTTGCAACCACAAGGACTTTAGCCCCCCAGGCTCCTGTGTCATGGGGTTTCCCAGGCAAGAATACTGGAGTGGGTTGCCATTTCCTTCTCTGAGGGATCTTCCTGACCCAGGGATTGAACCTGTGTCTCCTGCATTAGCAGGTGGATTCTCTCCTGCTGAGCCACCAGGAATCCCCATGTTGATTTTGACTAGTCCTTATTTTGGTTACTTAAATATCATCCTATTCGAATAGTTTTATTTAATAAATTACTTCAACAAACTACTTAAAATCTGATCAACAACTGAAAGGAGCATTTTCTGTGTATATCTTAAACTTAGTGATTGTGTATAATCAGTCCCATGGATGTGATTCTTTGTTCTTTTCTCAGGTATTTGTGTTGGTACTGATTTTCATAAAGCAAAGAATGCTAAAAGATACAGGATGTCTTTTTTTTTTTTTTTTTAGGATGTCTTGTAATTAACTTTTTCCTATTTTCTTTTAGAGTAAGTAAAACCACATCTGTCTTAATAATCAGTTAATTTTTCTCAGTAATATCTTACTTGTTCAGTAGAGCTTCTCAATTTTTCACTTTAATTTGATGTATTTGTTTTGTGTTGCTACTCTGATGTCAGAATATTTATACGCTGACCGTATAAGGTGGTAAAACACAAAAAAAGTCTGTCATATTATGTAATGTAGAGGTTAGCCAGTAGCTAGAATTGTACTTTAATTTTTTTCTAAATCTTTGTATTTTTATTTTGGAGAAGGAAATGGCAACCCACTCCAGTATTCTTGCCTGTAGAATCCCACGGACAGAGGAGCCTGGTGGCCTATAGTCCACGGGGTCACAAAGAGTCGAATGTGACTTAGCGACTAAACAATTGTATTTTATTAAACGTTATAAGATTCTGATTGCTTAAGGCCGACTAGTTCTATTTCAGTGTTGGCGTTACTTGTTTCTGGTTATTCTTGTAGTCGTCCCTGTTTTTGTTTTTCTTTTTAGTTTCTTACTTTGTGGCTTTGTTCTTTTCTTTTGCTTGTGTTCCTTTCTGTTTTGTTTTTGGGTATCTGTGGTAGGTTTTTGATTTGCAGTTACCATGGAATTCATATACGTTGATCTATAACTATATTTGTTTTAAGCCAGGTAGTCCTTTTTTTTTTTTTTTCCAGGTAGTCCTTTTAAGTTCAGACACATTCTAAAAGAGCTACACTTTTTGCTCCCTTCCCCCACACTTCGTGTTTTTGATGTCATAGTTTACATCTTCATGTTTATCTCTTTACTTATTGTTGTAGTCATACTTGATTTTACAGGTTTTTATTTCTTAATCTTTGTACTAGCTTATTTAAGTATTTGAGCCTCTATCTTTCCTATATATTTGCTTTTACTAGTGGGATTTTTCCTTTTCTATACTTAATTCTTGTTATATTCTTTCCTTTTCTATTTAGAGAAGACCCTTTAACATTTATTTTAGGGTTGGTTAGTATTGATGAACTCGTAATTTTTGCTTATCCAAAAAGTTCTTTATATCTCCTACAATTCTGAAGGATAATCTTGCTGGGAAGAGTAGCCTAGGTTGTAGGTTTCCCTTTTGGCACTGTAAATACATTATGCCACTCCTTTCTGGCCTGCAAAGTTTCTGCAGAAAAATCAGCTGTTAGCCTTGGGGAGATTCTTTTGTATATGACCCTCTCTTTTTCTTTTTGCTACCTTTAAAATTCTCTCTTTAGATTTTTCCATTTTAATTATGGTATGTCTTGGTGTGGGTCTGTTTGGATTTATCTTCTTTAGAATCTTCTGTGCTTCCTGTACCTAGACATTTGTTTCCTTCTTTAGGCTTGGGAAGTTTTCAGCCAAATTTCATCAAATAAATTTTTACTCTGTTTTTCTTCTGGGACCCCTATAATGGAATGTTGATGTGTATGATATTACCCAAAGACCCCTTAAAATGTTCTCTACTTTTTACTTTTCACTGTTCTGATTAAGTGAGTTCCAGTATTCTATCTTCTAGATCATGTACGTGTTTTTCTGTATCACCTGAGTTCATCTCCCTTCAGTCGCTCAGTCGTGTCTGACTCTTTGTGACTCCAGAGACTGCAGCATGCCAGGCTTCCCTGTCCATCACCAACTGCCAGAGCTTGCCTGGACTCATGTCAACTGAGTTGGTGATGCCATCCAACCATCTCATCCTCTGTTGTCCCCTTCTCCTCCTGCCTTCTGTCTTTCCCAGCATCAGAGTCTTTTCCAGTGAGTCAGTTCTTTGCATCAGGTGGCCAAAGTCTTGGAGGTCCAGCTTCAGCATCAGTCCTTCCAGTGAATATTCAGGACTGATTGCCTTTAGGATGGACTGGTTGGATCTCCTTGCAGTCCAAGGGACTTTCAAGAGTCTTCTCCAACACCATAGCTCAAAAGTATCAATTCTTTGGCTCTCAGCTTTCTTTATACTCCAACTCTCACATCCATACATGACTACTGGAAAAACCATAGCTTTGACTAGATGGACCTTTTGTTGGCAAAGTGATGTCTCTGCTTTTTAATATGCTGTCTAGATTTGTCATAGCTTTGATTCCAAGGAGCAAGCATCTTTTAATTTCATGACTGTACTCACCATTTGCAGTGATTTTGGAGCCCCCCAAAATAAAGTCTGTCACTGTTTCCATTGTTTCCCCATTTATTTGCCATGAAGTGATGGGACCAGATGCCATGATCTTAGTTTTCTAAATGTTGAGTTTTAAGCCAACTTTTTCACTCTCCTCTTTAACTTTCATCAAGAGGCTCTTTAGTTCTTCTTCGCTTTCTGCCATAAGGGTGGTGTGCTGTTAATTCCTTTTAGTGCATTTTTCTTTTCAGTTAGTCTATATTCTTCAGCTCTGATTGGTTCTTTTTTTTTTTTTTTCCATTTATTTTTATTAGTTGGAGGCTAATTACTTTACAATATTGTAGTGTTTTCTGCCATACATTGACATGAATCAGCCATGGATTTACA